CTTAAAAACCTCTAAACTTTCACACACCACTGCGAAGTCAAATATTAACATAAAGCAAATGAATTACTTGTTTCTTCCTCTTTAAAATAACACCAAACTTACAAAATCGATTGTGCATGTCCTAAGGACCCTTTTGCCAGATCTTGACTCATATGTGGCGCTAGATAGTACATACTAATTATATCGAAGAACAGAGCACGCATCGCACAGCCAGCACTTTTTGTCAAACATCGCGACGGACATCAAAGCATCTTCTATAAGACGTTGTTTGCTGAAACGGATGCTGCCAGGTTATCAATCACAGAATAAATGGTAAACAAAATCAGGAAGCTTGAATAGATAGTGTTGATAATGCCTGTAGCCCTCGTAAAAGGACAGCTTTCTGTCACAATGTACCAGATAATTACCGGTTATAACGTGAATGACAGCTACATCTCTCGTAAACTAGCTGCTCTCTGTCTGGCCTTACTCGGCCTTACGCCTTCGGTGTGAAATCTTGGATATAATGTATGATATCGGTGTTGAAACCGAGGACCAAACAGAGATGCTGAACTACAGTGAACCAAAGCTAAAGAAAGAGCATCATCATCGTCAGATGTTTTTAAATACAAAGTGTCAAGAAGTCAATAAAAAGGCTAGAAAGCCAGTAATCTTGACAAGATTGTGTCTACGGATTTAGGGACGCTACATTACACTATAACGTTATATGCAAGGCGAACAAATAAATCGCCCGGTAATCATTTCTGAAAGAGATGCGGAAATTACAGATTTTTCCAGAAATACTTTTACGGGAAATTCAACCATTAAAAGATGCAATATACTCGTATACGTTATTTAATATGGACTTATCTTTATAAATCCTCTCTACTTCATTTCGCCAATATCCTTAATATTGCATCCGGATGGACGTCGGCCAATTACAATTGTTTCTGTCGAATCCCTGACAGCTATTTCTACATCATTCAGATAACCTCAGCCGATAGCGGTGTCCATCATGTCTAAATCCATCTCTAAACTGAGAAAACCTTATCAGTTCCCTTGGACGTAGTACACATTGAGTTACTTCCACAGTGAGAGAAAACCATAGAAAAGAAATACTAACAAACAGGATTCATTTTCATGATTTTAGAGATGTGTTGGTATTTCCACTGACATGAATAGTTACTTACGTGTTGCCAGACGTAAGTTGTATATCAGGTACCATATAGAGTTCGAAGTACCTATCCGGTATAAATTCATCTAAAAATCGCTGAGGGTCCTCAGAAGAAAATCCCGAAATTTCATACAACCAAGAAGTATTTGTTCGGTCCGAGAAATGGCGGGGAACATCTGGCGATTCAAATGCTGATTGTTTAGATTCGTCGAGATAATGCAAAAGCGAAGGCATGTAATTCATTGTCTTTCAAAAATTCATTAGCTAAAATGTCATCTCTGTGTCGATCACAGGAGATCGTGTCTTGGTCTTGGTTGCTGGGTACGTATAGGTTATAACGTACCCAGCGACTGAAAGCCTAAAACAAGATTAATATAAATAGTAGCGTGCCCCTGTGGTCAGAGTCGTATCCAGAACGTCGACAAAATAACAGTTTTATATCACACATGTTAAAGTACGAAGCTTACATAGGGGTAAAAACACTCACATGGCATAAGAGAAGAACGATGATTTGGATTCTCCACCATATAATCGCCCAACGTCTGGTCATCTCCTATGTGAAACGAAAACACGTTTTATCTCCATGAACATTGTTAGTTGTCGATTCTAAATTTGAAATAGGGCGGATTAACTATCCGGATTAAAGTAAAACATTGGTAAAGGGGACATAGCTCTTAGTATCAAATTACATAATAAACGTTATCTCAAGCTCACCATCAATGCTGTGTTGTTTATTATATAACACCGGGTCCCACTTTCCCCATTCTGAATGTGAACAAGAGGTCCCCAGGGTCTATATCATTTACCTGGATATTTAATCAATCATGGCAAAAAATGTTCTTTAATTGGTAATACTAAACACTTCCTCATTTTGGCCGATGTTTCTGAGTGCCAAGGGGTACAACATCCTTCATTTATATAACATTTGATTTCCTGGTGTTAAGGATACCTCATAGCAAAAGACAGTCGGCTGATCAAGAGGAGTAAGGTTTTAAAGAATTACTAACTTTTCCAATTTGGACATTGCCCACAATTCCCATGGAACTACACTCTTCCTACAGCAACTGATTCACGATGTTAAGGAACAAGTATGCTTTGAAAGCGAATTTGGTTGAGATCCTTATATATGTTGATCACAAGTAATAGAGTCTGGGTTAATCACCCTGGGACTAAGTCACCATGGGTGGGGCCAGACCCTTGACCAGTCCTGGAAGCATCATTTTACACCTAGCAGGGGCAAGGATGGGCTCCAAGGTCAATCCTGAAAGCATGAATTCATTTGTCTTTTCATTCCTCAATAAACTATTGAAAGCACATGTTTAGAAATTTAGATATAACGGTTCGGACATTTTAACTGAAGTAAGCAGTTCATACAAACCATTATGCATATCTAAATCTAAAAGATAAATGTCTAAAACGTTGATAAAAATCCATATTTATGCCAAACTTTACGTGTTGGAACTCTATTGTCAGATTTGTAAATAAAATTCATGTTACAATGTCTAAAATATGCATGAACTTGAGTGATTTTGCCATCAATCGAGTCTGGTGTACGACCACGTTAGATCGATGTAAATACATCGCAGTAGATCCCATACAGTAAAGTCGACTGAGAAGCCTTCAGTTTTAATGAGCTTCCTTTTCAGAGCATGGTCCGAGTGTCGGAATTTTCTGTATAAAACCATCCTGTGGATCTATACGCTGTGCAGACAGACTTTATCGGAGTGGGCCAATTTATTTACTGGAGGAATTTTACGGTCATGATCCGATTTCCAATAATAGGTTCGTGGGGCCTGTATCACTCACCATTTCTATATTTGAAGTACAAAATCGAAGTTTCCGCTAAATTTAGACCCTAATGGCCGTCTCAGATTTCCCCAAAAATTAAAATAACATTTCAGGCAATGTCAATGACAAATATTTTTACGACCTTTGGTTAAACTGGTCAAGTGGAACAGAGAAAAAGTCAAACATATTTTAGCCAATCAGAGAATAGGGTGTCCATTTTTTTTAAATTTCGAATCAAACCAATAAATTACAGACATGTTCAGAAGTATTATTATTCAGATCAGGTTTAGTTACCTTTGAAGTTGAAGATGTTTCAATCTGGGAATAGGTGGCCATTTTTTATTGAAATTGCTCCAAAAAACCTTGGTTCGCAGCATAAGAGGAACATTTGTACAAAGCTTTATCAAATTGGTCTTGTGGTAATTACGGTGCAGAAAATGTCTAAGCTATTCAAAATATAAGGTGGACATCTTAGATTCGGCCAGGACACCTTAGATTCGGCCACTTAGATTCGGCCAGGACATTAGCACTAATTTTGTTAATGTTTGCTTATTAGACCTCGATAGGAATTTGAAATGTTTGTCCCGTTTTACGTGCTGAACCCCACAGTACTGTCCGAAGGAGAGCAATACCGTTCTAACACCGAGTCAACTTTATTTAGTGAATGTCCATGCAAAATTTATTTGTAATCCCTTCGCATGTATTAATATTAAGTACATCACTGAATTCCCCCATCACCTTGGAAGGCGAACAAGGCCTAATTATAGTAACTGCAAACCTTATGTGGGTCATTTAGGTATACCAAAGTTATAGAGAACTTTAGCGGTTTGAAAGTCAAAGCCTTGACACCCAGACAAGAACACATACAATGAGTTTCCCCTTTTGATCGATGTTGAAACATGCTGTAGTCGGAGGCCACTCATTTATAGTCAAATAGTCTTTTGAATGCGAACCACTTTTAGGTCCCTCCGTTGCCGAAGTTAGTGATTGGGTGTCAAAGCATTGAGAAGCAAATTAAATTTCCCCTTGGGGCAAATCAGAGCGAAACCCCTTCACTTTCACTTACCAGGTCTTTATAAAATAACCCATATTAACTGGCAACCGGTTTACACTAGGGTTTGGTTCCAGTATTGGGCGTTACAAACTTTGCCACATCCTCCATTAATGCAACATTTCATTACCTCTGCCATTGAATGATCTGTTCAGCACTCTAGGGTTTTAAAGGAAAACCGCACCATGACCTAACTTCACTTGGTTCAATTGCAGGATGTCATTATTTAACCATTTTGCTGCTGCTAATATAAAACACAATACAGAATGGTGGGCTACTTTTATTGAAACAGCACTTTCAATCTTTCATAAATCTCACTGTGAATATACACACATTTTCCATCATTCAGAATCACTGTTCTCACTCACATGCTCACACTCTTGTCATGACAACAAACACAACCTTCATTCCAGGACAACACTGTCCCAATATTGTACAGTAATGTCAATCCCTCTCACCATTTACTGTGCTAAACTCCTTTGCATGTCAAAGAGAGGTGGCACAAGAAAATGTTGAAAAGAATACACATAAATTTAATTTTTGTCCACAAATGGTCCATTTAATTTGCAGTGTTGTCTCATTTGTGTTTCTATGTGCTATACTAATAATGGTAATCTTGAGTGGTACTATATGTTTGTGTGTGTGTGTGTGTGTAGGTGTGAGGTACAACTTTGTTCGATTTGTGAACACCAAATACAACCAAGTACTTCAATACTTTACTTGACCAATTTCCTTAGCGATAATTTGAACAACTTTTGTTTAGGTTTGGACATAAAAACAAGTAGAAAGTAAACTTTGCGTTAAGGTACCAGGTACCCCCAACAAGAGGTTAAACAGTCCTCATTTCTGTATTGCATACCTGTTATGACACAAGTGATGGCAAGCACATCTCACATGTGAACTTCAATTGTAGTTAAGGTCAGATTTATTTAAATATACTTAATAGCAAGCGAGCTGAGGTCAGTTATCCTTACAATTATCTTTATGAAAGATTTTAACATATCNACAAAAAATGCATGGCACCTTAACAAAGCAGGCTACAGGCCAACTACTCCAGGGCTTATAGATCTTTGGAAGACAGTCAGCATGAGAATGAGAAGTAAATGTTTAAAAGTTTTTAAAACATTGGACCCCAATGACCTTGAAAATGGGAAAAAAACATGCATAACCATAACAAACTCAAAGCACTTTCCTCAAGCATGCTATAAAAGTAATTACCAAGTACTGAAATTTTCGAGAATCTATTTGGAAGTAAGGAAAAATCTTGACGCTGAACGAGGACTGAGGTGAGCTAAAAATAAAGATTGTATAGCAAACCCCAACTTCAGAAGATTTAAAGTTTAGGTTTCCTCACAGTACCAGAGTTGATAGCCTTGTTGCTCTATAACAGTAGTTATGATGATATAATTATGATTTGCTGCTGCTGGTATCTTGTGTATCTACTACTGATTGTTACTTCCAGAATCTGAGGAAACCATTCCCTATCTATATCTTACTGTATTACTATTATACCTCATTTTAATATCTCAAGAAACTGCTTCCCGAGTCAGATTACCAGCAATACTGTGTTTCACAAGGTTTGATCAGGTAGTCATGTTGTTTGGTGTTTTTGACATGAGCATGTATATAATTGCTATAAATATGTAACTAGTGTCAGTAGAATACAGTTCACAGATGTAGAATACTGTAGTGTGCACACATGTAGAATACAGTACACATATGTAGAAAGAGTGTAAATGCATGTAGAATACGGTACAAATATGTAAAAGTACACATGTAGAACAGTGTACACATATGTAGAATACTGTACATATGTAGAATACTGTGTGCGCACACGTAGATTTCAGTACACATATGTAGAATATATGCACATGTAGAATACATGTATAGTTAATTACAGATTATCAGATGTGTATTCTAGTACATATAAGGGATTTTCCTCGGTCTGTTTTAGTTTTGATTTTTGCTCCTTAATTTATGATTTTCCAATTCCATCCCAACCCAAATCTTTCCTCTAAAAAATCCTACAAGTCTGAATAATTGAAAATGTAAAAATCTACTTACGAAACAACCTTTAAAAAGAGTATATTGTTATTACTTAAAACTAATTTCTCCGATTTACAGCAAAAAGTTCCCAACTTAAAGGCCCATGTTAAAACTGATAAGGAAAATCCCTGTTTCTGTATATCATCATATGATAGGACACTTATCAAACAATCACACACATCCAGTAGGTAACATACAGTAGTGACAAACCCAGCCTCTGTATTAAGCCAGCCTTCTCACTAATATATTTGATATCATCATTTTTAAAGGAAATGCAGAGAGTGAGAGGGCTTAATGCAGACAAAATATCGTAGTAAAGACATTGTTCACAAACTCATTAACAGAGACTTCACAACAGGATTAAACAACAAATTTAACTTCATCAATTTCATTTCCTACAACAATAATAGATTGTAAAGTGTTTCACCTTGAGTCTACCTACAGTGCACAGACAACACCACACTTTTGTGTTTTTCACCAAGGATCTGTTCACACGGTTACACTGTACTGATTTAGACACATGATCATGCTGCCAGTAAAATTCTCCCAGTATATCTTCAGTTCATGATGTCATATCCATACACAATTTCAGCCGACATGTTGTCATCACACCGGGGGTTGATCCTCAACTGAATTTGAAGCGACTGATTTCATGATTACACAGTAAAAAAAAACAGACAACACTGAGGACACTTGCTAGGAATAATTTGTCACAAATTCCAAGTGATGTAATGTTTGTGTATGCACTGTAGGCTTGGTGAGTGGCTAAAGAACACATTTGATCATTGTAAGGCTGAACAACAGCCTTGATCAGCAGAACGGTGATGCTGTGGGATCCATTGTCTTAAAGAAATCCTTCATTTGAGGTTCTAATGCATTTGGGGGTATAAAGGGGGGCAGCTCTAGAGCAACGGGCATGCAAATATCCCCATCAGGGGGCAGAGGTGGTATGGGGCTGGAATCAACGTTTGGCGATGATGAGCCTTCAGGCTTACTAGTCCTAGGGTCAAGTTTATTTTTAACAACTCCCCGATTGTCTGTTTTGTGTTTAGCACTGTCTGGTGGGGGTCGGTGGTAACTATTGTAGCCAGAGGTTCCTTCCCCTTTGTCCTCACTATCCAGCCCAAGTGGGGAGCTATAGTCCATGCTACTTTTGCGCTGCCCTGTGTATCTCTTGTGTACCACAGATTCACTGGCGGGTTTCCGTTTGAATCTTGGGTCATTTCTGTAATCAAGCTTTGGCTTAGGGGTGTCTGATTCATCTATTTTTTTGTTTTCAGAATCACTGCTGGATTGTCCACTAGACATATCTCCTTGTAAAGATCGTCTGGGGTCTAGTGCAGAAGGCTTCCTGGGATCGGCCCCTATTGACCCCTGTCGCTGCAAGGAGCGGGGATCTATTGGTCGCTGAGATTCCATATCTGCAATAGTGCGAGGATCTTGTGGAAATTTTCTGGGATCTGGATTCACTCTTGGATCCTTATTTCCTATTCTTGGCTCTTGGGGACCACTTCTTGGATCTTGTGGACCACTTCTTGGATCTTGGGGTCCACTTCTTGGATCTTGTGGACCACTTCTTGGATCTTTGGGACCACTTCTTGGATCTTGGGGACCACTTCTTGGATCTTGGGGACCCAGTCTGGAATCTTGTAAACCCATTCTAAGATCTTGAGAACCCTTTCTTGGATCTTGTGGACCCATTCTTGGATCATGTTGGCCCATTCTGGGATCTTGTTGCCCCATTCGTGGGTCTTGCAGACCCATTCTTGGATCTTGCAGACCCATTCGTGGATCTTGCAGACCCATTCGTGGGTCTTGTAGACCAATCCTGGGATCTTGTGGTCCCATCCTAGGATCTTGTGGACCCTTTCGTGGATCTTGCTGTCCCTTTCTAGGATCTTGTGAACCCATACGAGAATCAACTTGTCTTGACAAGGGGTCAACTGCCATACCGTTGGAGCTAGCAAATGGAGGTCCAGCCATTTGTCGACCAATCCTTGGATCTGCTTTTGGAGGCAGCCCACCTGTGGCATTACCATCCCGACTCATTTGCCGAGCCATCCTTGGGTCAAGTGGCTTTTGTGGTCCAATGTCTGGACGTGGATTAATACCCATATTTAGTGAGGTGGGTAATGGGTTGGAGGGTGCACGCTGTAAATGTGGTGGAATATTAGATTGTGCAACCAAATTGTCTGATACGGACCCCTGAAGGTGAGGGTTCAATGATCGGGATCCTTCTATAGCTGCATCCACACGAAGTTTAAACCTGGGATCCATGCGACGTTCAGCAGGCTGCCCTGTGCGAGGGTCAATCTTGGGAACAACTTCCACTGTATCAACTCCTACTGCGGGTTGGGAGATAACAGGTTTCACAGGTTTGACCTCTTTCTGAGGAAGAGACTCCAAATATATGAGGAATTTTTTTATACGAGGATCATTCTTGAACTGCACATGATGCACATCCATTCCTTGAGGGGGTTTATTGTATTGTGATTGGTCTACTGTAATAAGTCTAAGTTTATAAGGAATGTCGCCCTCAGATGAGTTGATGATGACTGGGTCAGGGCTGGCCGTAAAAACCTTAGGACTGTCGTTAGTGAACTGGGCAACACCCGATGCATCCTTAGGGAAGGTTGGAGGGTTACTGTTCGCCGGTATACTGTAACACAAAAAGAAGACTTGATTTATTTATGATTATCATTATAAAAACAGAAAAATTGAGTGTAAAAACATAATAATAACAAGAGTACTGTGAGGCAAAACAATACATGCTAAATACATGTTTTCTTTATTTAACTGCTGTGTACGAGGTCATCAAAGACTGCATAAAATTAATTAACCAGCAAATATCAATATACTGTGAATTATGATTGCAACTCAAAAATAAGTAAAAACACCTTGCATTCCAATGAACATGCTTTTATCGAAAGGTAAATAGAACACCTGTAAATTGGGCATGTCTGACAGTAACACTGTGCTTTTCTAACTTCTGGTTGTTCTTAATATACTATATGGTAGTAGCTACTGAGCATGGTATTTTGCTAGTTGGTATTGTGCAAAATTTGAAGCCCTTGATATAGTTCTGATCGGGATAACAGCGTAATTAAACAACACTACACTACTTGATTGAGTTATTAAGTGGAATCTGACAACAAGAGCAAACCATAAGTAATTAGGCCCTGATTTCTCTCAAATCTAAAGGATATGCATGAACACTCTGACCCAGGTACTAATAGTGAACTCTAACCAAATATAAAGAGAACTTACTCTGGAGTGCCAACATTGGTGTTAGATATAAAGGGAACTTACCCTGGAGTTCCGACATTGGTGTTAGTTATAAAGGGAACTTACTCTGGAGTGCCAACATTGGTGTTAGATATAAAGGGAATTTACTCTGGAGTTCCGACATTGGGGTTAGATATAAAGGGAACTTACTCTGGAGTGCCAACATTGGTGTTAGATATAAAGGGACCTTACTCTGGAGTTCCGACATTGGTTTTAGATATAAAGGGAACTTACTCTGGAGTGCCGACATTGGTGTTAGACATAAAGGGAATTTACTCTGGAGTGCCAACATTGGTGTTAGATACAAAGGGAACTTACTCTGGAGTTCCGACATTGTTGTTAGATATAAAGGGAACTTACCCTGGAGTTCCGACATTGGTGTTAGATATAAAGGGAACTTACTCTGGAGTGCCGACATTGGTGTTAGATATAAAGGGAACTTACTCTGGAGTGCCAACATTGGTGTTAGATATAAAGGGAACTTACTCTGGAGTTCCGACATTGGTGTTAGCTATAAAGGGAACTTACTCTGGAGTTCCGACATTGGTGTTAGTTATAAAGGGAACTTACTCTGGAGTGCCGACATTGGGGTTAGATATAAAGGGAACTTACTCTGGAGTTCCGACATTGGTGTTAGCTATAAAGGGAACTTACTCTGGAGTTCCGACATTGGTGTTAGTTATAAAGGGAACTTACTCTGGAGTGCCGACATTAGTGTTAGATATAAAGGGAACTTACTCTGGAGTGCCAACATTGGTGTTAGATATAAAGGGAACTTACTCTGGAGTGCCAACATTGGTGTTAGATATAAAGGAAACTTACTCTGGAGTTCCGACATTGGTGTTATATATAAAGGGAACTTACTCTGGAGTTCCGACATTGGGGTTAGATATAAAGGGAACTTACTCTGGAGTTCCGACATTGTTGTTAGATATAAAGGGAACTTACTCTGGAGTTCCAACATTGGTGTTAGATATAAAGGAAACTTTCTCTGGAGTTCCGACATTGGTGTTAGATATAAAGGGCACTTACTCTGGAGTTCCGACATTGGTGTTAGCTATAAAGGGAACTTACTCTGGAGTTCCGACATTGTTGTTAGATATAAAGGGAACTTACTCTGGAGTTCCGTCATTGGTGTTAGATATAAAGGGAACTTACCCTGGAGTTCCGACATTGGTGTTAGATATAAAGGGCACTTACTCTGGAGTTCCGACATTGGTGTTAGCTATAAAGGGAACTTACTCTGGAGTTCCGACATTGGTGTTAGTTATAAAGGGAACTTACTCTGGAGTGCCGACATTAGTGTTAGATATAAAGGGAACTTACTCTGGAGTTCCGACATTGGTGTTAGCTTGAGTGCGTATACTGTTAATCATCTGCATGATGTCCAGGGCAGATGATTGTGAGTGGCTGGTTGGTACAGGGGTCTGAGGACTATCAGGAGTCGGCTAAAAACACAAGACACTTATTGTACAACGCATGCCATAGATAGTCAATGGTACAGGGGTCTGATCATGAGGACTATCAGGAGTCGGCTTAAGACACAAGTCAGACTTATTGTACAACGCATGTCATCAATAGTCAAAGGTTAACTTACAATTGAAGAAAGATGCATGTAAAATAATATACATGAAATCTTCAGATCTTTGGTGTTTAAATTTCAATTAAATATTAGCCAAATATTTGTACATTCTGTAACAAAGAATATTACGTTAATAAATCATTAAAGTGTGTTTCACAAGACAATTGTTGAGGTGTACCTGTTGCGAGAGGTTTTTAAGAATGTCTGTGAGCTTTGGTTTTGAAGACGACACATCCTCTTCATCACTCGAGTACCAGTTGTCATCATCCACTAGAATCAACAGCAAATGAAAATCTCAAAATAAGCCACCACATTCTCAAACATATTACTCTGACTTCTATCTAAACTACCCATACAAACATTAAAAAATAAATAATTGTGCTGTTGCGATGTTTTGAAAAGTTTGAAGAACCTCTTTAAAATCATGTAATGTGGTCAATATTATTCAAGTTGCAGCTACCATGAAGTACGATAACATTAAGTTTAGTAAAACACTGCATGAAAAAGTCAATATCTGTTACAATGTATGGAAAAGTTTGTTTCAAATGTTCTATAATGTTGGAGAAAGTGATCAATGATCCAGATAAGGTTATAAATCAAGTGACTTCAATAATGATTACTTTGCGCCTGGTCAACTTTGTCCTCTTGGTCCGCCTTTGCATCCTTCACTCCATCTCCTTGTTGGTTCTGTATGCGGAGGAAGAGCTCACGCTGTTTGGCAGGAAGGTGAGTCAGTGTATCTAAGTTGACCCCGAGAGTGGACAATTTTTTTTCGTTCGACTCTTCATCAGCAGATACTGCCTCAGGGTCAGTCTCAGCTCCTGATTGTTCTGTTTTCTCTGGGTCTGCAACAAAAAGGTATGGTTTCATTGTTAGTAGGTTTTATGCGTAAGTAGGGGATGAGGCCAGGAATTCGAAGGTAGGAAAATCAGTGTAGTGGAGTCATTATCTCTATGTAAGTTTGATCATTTCTCTTCTGTTGTCTGTTTGATTGATGTCATGTCAACAGTAACTTTTGATAAAAAGTGTATTCTACCGTGTTTAACATTGTCCTTTTAAAGTGAGGTTGTGGTTCAACAATATAACAAGAATTACGCGTATTATATGTCTCGCCTGTTAGATTCAATGTGTCAAGCATTGTAAGTTTGAGCCGAAGTTCGGAATTTGATATATTTTATAAACAAGTTTGGCAATACATCAACATGAAGGTATAAAAGGCACAAGTGCTAATTGTAATGGGAGCTGACTGTTACAGATGTCCCCAAAACTAACCGCACATTCAGAAAATCAAATGTAAATAGGTGAACTGAAGTCATGTACATAACAAATTTGAGCAAAATCAAAATATATGTGAATTTCGACCAATCATGCAGAGGCCAGTATATGAAGACTGTGTTCTCGTCAGATCAGATAACGGATGCCGTGGTTGAGTTCATAGTGCCAAAATACATGTACAAAATCTGAAATGTGTGTAGGGATGCCCATGCATAGATAAAAGTACAATTCAGATTTGGTTATGACAGCACATTTACTTTGTGAGAAATTAAACTCAACCCCAAGCTAAACAGAAAACTTTAACATGGCCCAATTGATTAACAAAGTCCAATTAACAGTATATTTTAGTTGAAATTCTGATTCTGAAATGTGCATTTGGATGGTTATATAGATATAAGTATATTCCAGGTTTCATTATGATAGCTTATGTACTTAGAGAGAAATTTAGCTCAATGTGGAGCTAAACGAAGAACTTTAACATGGCCCAATTAATTAACAAAGTCCAATTAACGGTAAATTTTTGTTAAAATTCTGAATCTAAAATGTGTGTTTGGATGGTTATATATATAGATATAAGCATATTCCGGGTTCCATTATGATAGGTGATGTACTTAGAGAGAAATTTAGAGTTTAACAGAAATGTTGATGCCGCCACCACCGCCAGAAAAGTAACGCCTATGTCTCGCTTCAGGACTCCGTCGCAGACGACACAAAAATGTTAATACATGCGTGTTTACTGCATATGTAATTACCTGTATATAAATGTAATTATAGAACAAGAAAAAAATCTTGATTTCTTGCAGCCATTTTTTTCTACCGATCAAGTAGCTTGAAGCTCACAACAAAGTATGTATAAAAAATCAGGGCACAGGAAAAACCTACTTTAATATGAATTTTGAAAATAATCTGTACTATATATACTTTGTGGGAAATAGTGATGGCAAAATTTCATGGTCAAATTCAAATTGACTGTCTGGCTGCCATTTTTTTTCCCAAGTTGATTATGAAACATGCTGCAGCATACAACCAAAAGGCACTATATAAATGTTGTACATTATAATTATTTTTATTTAAAGAGGTGCCTACAAGGTAAGTTTTACTGGCTACTATATTTGAACTAACTAGTACCCATGTATGTTCCTGTGTTTGACCCTCCCCTTCTTGCTGCTTTGAAAAGTGTTATCATTCCTTCAACAACAATAAAAACTTCTCTAACAAAAAATCTAATTTCACACAAAAAAATCCCCAATGACACAAAATGTAGAGGGGAGAAAGCAAGCCAGAGTTTACATGTCCCTTTAGATAAAAAAAAACAACCAATTTAGGTCTTTTCTCAGAAAAAAGACACAATTACTCATAGATCATACTTATTTGCCATCCTTGATACTTCAGGGGTACGCTCACTTACACTCTCTGCACCCCTGGAATATATCATAAAAAAATTGAAGGCACAAAGACAGCTATTCGATTGGTCTCTGGTAAAAAAAAGACTCATCGCTAGGCTAATACCTGTTCTTTAAAGATTACAAAGGAGTGACACCCTACTTCAAAGTGAGTCAATTTTTACCATTAGCAACCATGAGGTTCTTTTGATGTACATCAGAGGATCAAACTAGTCTTCTTGTTTTATCAATGAGGTGCTGCACATTGGGGGTACAGAGAATGAAAGTGAGTGTAACCCCTGGATATCGAGGATGATAATGGACATGGTTGGATGAAGTTACCTTTAGTATTCCTGCCAGTGTTTTCAGCCTTTGCTTCTACTCTGTCAGCATTCATGTGATCTCCCTCCTTGTCCTCCAGTGGCTTATCAGCAGGGGCTGGGTTTTGTTCATGAGTTGGACTCATAATTGTATCACTAGAGGGACCATACGTTCCCTGTGTTGAGCTGAAGGGCCCTGTCTGGTTAGGCCCCTTAAAAGGGGGAGGCATGTTCTGCATTGGTCCTGGTGGAGCCATGTTTTGAGGTCCAGGGGGTCTCATGTTCTGGGATCCAGGGTGTCTCAAATTTTGTGGTCCAGGTGGTCGTATGTTTTGTCGGAGAACCTGAGGTGCAGCCTGTCGTAAGAGTGCCCCAACAAGTGCAACCGCTGGGTTCATAGCTGAAGAGGAAACAGGTGGGTTCTGCATAGGTGGGCCCTGCATATGAGGTCCCCGCATCGGTGGACCCTGCATTGGAGGCATTCCTGGGCCCTGCAGGTTGGGGCCAGACATTGGGGGCCCATGTGGGCGAGGTCCAGGCATTGGAGGGCCCTGTTGATGGGGTCCTGACATCAGAGGGCCCTGTTGATGGGGCCCTGACATTGGAGGGCCCTGTTGGTGGGGACCAGACATTGGGGGTCCCTGTTGACGAGGGCCTGACATGTGAGGACCCTGCTGGTGGGGTCCAGGCATAGATGGCCCCTGTTGATTTGGCCCAGGCATTTGTGGACCTTGCTGATGAGGCATGGGTGGACCCTGTCCCTGCATAGGAGGAGGCTGATTCATATCATTATAAAATCCACTTGGTCTGAAAATATTGTAGATAAACCCCAGTTAAGCAAATATTCATAAACTTCCTTAGAATTGTACGCTATGACAGTTTCTGTATATGTACATTCTCTTCACACACACCAAATCTCTGATGATTCAGTCGGTAAGTGTGGTACTCTAATTGTGATCACTTGTTTATGAAAACAGATGGACAGCACGATTACATAATACCCTCCACTTTTGGTGGACATATAGAAACAATGCAAGTCCAGGGACTTATTCGGTTTAGAAATGACTACCAATATTACTATTATCTATATTGTTGGAGACCAATCATAATCTACATTTAACAGTGACTATCTTTTAGCTCTGGAATTCATTTTTTTTCTGATCCCTTTAAACCAGTGATTCTATTTGTCCTTATTTACACGCCAGTGAGAAAATAAATGTTGATCATAAAGCTGCCTGCTCTATGCAAACCCGAGACATACAAATATAGGCCATTCATAAGTCTTTGACTTTGAAGAAAATTCAATATTTGTTTCCACGTTTTAAACTATTTAATGCAATATTTGCTATTAAAAATATCAATTCTGCCTCGAGAAATTGTGGCTCAGATGTTGAATATACCCAGAACTTGAAGAGGAGGCCTTCACATTTGTGGACAGGAATGTATGTTACTTACCTGGGAGAAGGGCCACACATCTGAGGAGGATGTATATTCGGAGGGCCATCATTAAGCATGGGTTTCTTTGGACTTTGGCCTGGTGGGTACACTTTGATATCGAATATTGACGGGATCTTCTTGACTCGATCTGACTGGTCTGTTATGTGTCGTGGCGGTGATCCTGAAATGGTGTTTCATGGTAATTAAGTTTAATTGTAATTTGGACAGTGAATATTTTGTTTTAATGTTGACAAAAATGATTTCAACTTGAAAACAGAATAAACAGAGGGATTTTGCTACAAACAATTTTAAAATCTGTATTAAATCTATGGAAGTCTGATATTTTCTGTTATTTTTTCTGCTGGATCAATAGTCATGGCAACAGTCAATGCATCAAGTGGTAGCTATTTCAAAGTGAAGTTGTCCTTTGACCTACTTGTTAGATTAGAAATGTAGAGAATGAGGGGGAGGGGGTCATTTCGCCGATCAAGCTAAAACCATGGCATCCCTCTAGTACTTTCTGAGAAATGAGAAATAATGATAACAAACTTTGAACTGTCAAATTTAGGAAAGCAACAAGTTTTTCTTCCCATCAGTCGAAAAATGAAGCAGGCACAAATAAAGATCAAGGTCCGGGACATATGTATGAAAGGTGCAAAAATCTGTCTAGTACTTCTTGAGAAATAGCAAAAGATTGATTAAGGAGGAAGGAAAGGTGATTCAAACAGCCCACCATCATGCATGGATTGTCTTAAATGCATTATGCTGAGCCGATAAAGGAATGACTAGACTGATAAGGGGATGAAGTAGATGAAGAGTTACTGGCCTTATTATTTGGTCACCATTACTTAGGAGCAAGGGGATGTGATTAGTGGGAGTAGAGAGACCTTACTATGGTCACCATTACCTAGAAGACTTGGCCGAGGTGGACCCATCCTCTGTCCCTCAGTATACATTTCCTCTTCTCTAGGGAAGTCCTGGAAAAACTGCAAACAGGAAAATACCATCTTACCATCACTTTCCTTATTTATATTTAACCATAGACAAATACTGACTGAGAAATACAATTGGCACAAAAAGTCTGCACTAGCAGCATGCCGACCAGTTAGCTAAAAACGTACCATATATAACTTTAATTATATCTAACAATTTTTTTATTTATTTTATTTGGATGGAACACTTACAATATAACATTATAATAGATTACAGAAAAAATAATATAAATTTATAATAATCTGAAGACCAAAGGAACTTTGGACTAAAGGGAGATAACTCTTATCAATTTAAAGTATCTGAAGTGTATTACCTTATCCACAAGAGGGCCTGTTTCATCCGTAAGTGGATCATGAGAGAACTTACAGTTGTCACCGCTGTAACATTTCGCTCCAGTGTGGAAAAATTTACAAGGAAATTCCCGTGATCAGTCGTCAAGGAAGTCAACCTTATTATGACACACTTACATAATTTCTGTCAAACTTTCGAAGCATACATATTTCAATTTTACAATCACTTTTAAATGTATGTTAATTTCTAAAAATATTTCAAAGCCAACACCTTGGAAAATAAAAATATTGTAATAGCAAGAAATATCAGAGAGCCACATTAAACAGGCAGCCATGCTGAAAATATTTTCTCATATCTCCCTAAACCTAAACCATGTGCAGTATTTCAAACCCTGAAACTTGAGAATTTTATTAGAAAACAGTAGCTGATAAAGTATTAGTACCATTTTTCTTTACTTCTTCTACTTTACTGACAGTTTCAATATATGATTAAAAATTATCAATGATTTCCAAAGTAAATATCTATTTCATAAATCTGAATATCTATTTGAACTTTAGGTTAAGTATTCATACAACTGAAGTCAATTTTCACTGTAAATTTTTTAATTGATATATAGAAATACAAAAATATAATAATTTAAAATCTATAAACAAAACTTAGATACATTTCAGCAAAGTTAATTGATGCAAAAATTTAGAATATTCCTTCAGTTGCAAAATATATTTGGGAGTGATAGTTAAAATCATGCCCATCTGTATCAAACACACTTACAATGGGGTTGTTGATCTTAACAATAAATAATGTCATGAAGACACTGTGAACAGCCATGGGCAACTTTATTTACTTTCGATAGTAAAGGATATCATGCATGAAAATACAGTTGTCTCCCTTCGAACATTGGGAATTCAGGTAGAACTTGCAGAGATCCATCTTTTTTGGTGGTCGGTAGTCGTGGTTGAAGGGACAATCGTTTCCCTGTGGAAAATAGAACATATTCTTGCAACATGTCGAACAAAAATCGAAATTAAGGATAGCGGAACATTATCAATATATACACTTTGAGGTTTCTGACAAAAACAGAGATCCTAGATGGAATAATGCCCACCCAATATTGGAATGATGCTGAAGGTTCTAGTCTCTATACTTCCCCGTTCTCATCTTCAACAAGGACCTATGGAGCCTAAGAAGCCCGCAGGAGACCAGGAACAATAAGTTAGAACTTACATCATTACCTTAAACGGGCTAGTTCTAAAACAGATTTTAAAATCCGTTTCAAATTCAAGCAAGCACAACTAGGGACAAATTAAAGCAGAATGTGCATACCAAGTTTTCATTATTTCCTTTAGTACTTTTCAAAACACAGAGGTAATAAATTTCATGCACCATTTTGTTTTTCTTGTGGGCCAAAATTTGAAAAAGGCATAATTTGGAAATAAGGAAATCATTAATACCACATTTGGTTTTGAATACCCGATATATAGCTTTAACAAAGTTGACAAACAAAATATCTCAATGGCCATTTTGCTTTTCCGATCCCTCTAAAATTAGAGCTGTGCAACTATAGATCATTTGGATCTTGCATACAAAGTTTCATCATGATCTGTTTAGTAGCTAAGTAAATGACTGAGTCACCCTTGATCACAAAAAAAACAGGTTTCTCCATAATAAGCAACTACCTAATATTTTATTAAGACTCAAGTTTTATCAATACTCTTAACTTTCAAATGTGTCATTAATTAGTTATCCAGGCTTAAATGACATTCTTTACAGCATATGTAACAATAAGATAAAATCATGAATTCATTGTAAAAGGTTAAGACCGGTGGTGTTATACATGTTTTTTTGATTATCAACCTAATTCTACGATAAAATTTGTTATTCTTAAATGTGTCAGTAAATCACGATCCAATAACAAAGGAATATCAAATGATAAAACAAAACTCAAAATCCTTCCCATTCTATCTAACTTTCAGAAAACTGACTGTGGCTCATACTGGGAATGTGAGATCTCTATCTATAGTTACCTTCGAACACTTTCCTTCCTTGTAGAATTTACAGATAGGACGTTCATTCATTGGTGTGAGCAGTAAGGGTTTCTTCTTTGGTGGCTGATCTGCTTGCTGTTGGCGATCCATCTTCCTCTTCATTTGTTTCATATGCTTCATTTTCTTATTGGATACACTCGGTTGCTTGTAGATGTTCTGGAAGATAATTTTAACAGTACAAGGCTTTACCAGGGTGTACAGTTCTTATAACCTAAAACTAGGACTACTTGATTTTATGTCAGGTTAAGCAAAGATTTTAACATCTGCTGGTTGTGTTTTTATTAATTACCATACATCGCAGTATTAACAGCTGAACACCACTATAAAGACAGTGAAGTGTAGAGCTATACACCACTATATAGAGAGTACATGCAAAACAAATTCTTATTTCTTAGTAAGAAAGTTAACTCCGCTGTTTTGTGTAGAACTTTGCAATTTTAGTACCAGGAATTGTTTCATTTTCCGGTGGAATTATGTCTTAAATAAATCGATGTCTTTTTCATTAACACAGGACTATCAGAAATCTGTGATCGTATTCATATCTGACAATTTCAAACTTAAGAAAATAATTTAAATTGTACATCTATTTCTATCATTTATTAATCAACTGATATAAATCAATCTTGTTGGCCTGGATGGAAGTGCACAGGTTTCTGAATGGGGGAGAAAACCAAAGAACCTAGTGAAAACTCATGTGGACAGGGAGGTGGCCCTGCAACTTTTCAGGTCCAACTGGGCAATTGAACCTCATCATCTTGGTGAGTTACTATCACGCTATCGTCTGTGCCATCCCACAACCCACACATTTCAAACTTGATATCCTATTCCAATTTCACCTGAGTTTCAAATTCTTAAGAACCTTCATGGTGTTAAATTTGCAGCACTTCCTGTTAATTTTCTAAATTTTATTTCTTGAAACAGCATGATTTCACTGAAATTGTAGTTGATACAAAATGGTATGGCATATTGGAAAACATTTTTCATCAAATCAGAATACTGTTTTCATATGACCTTCGCTGTTGCGAGGACGTAAAGCCCAGAACGTTGTAATAATTTACAAAATATAAGTTACCTCCCCTTCATCAATGGCAACATTGGCATCAACGTAGTCATCCTCTACCATGCTCATCATAGTTCGTCGTGGCTTACGCTGGTTTCCCTGCTCATATCTAAAACATAAGTAAGTACACATAAATGAGTCAATTTAATAACTATGCCCTAAGAATACAATTCAGCAAAGTGAAACCATTGTTTTCTGATAAATACTACCTATATTTTGGCAAATGAGATGTTTTTTTTCAAGTGTGCAGCAATGTTCATCCAAAAAGTTTAATATACAGAAAACACTAGTTAAGAAACAGCTATTTGAATTTTCTTATAGTTCCACACACGAAACAGCTGACCCATACACTGTCATCCAAAGTTACATCAGGCTTCAGGACAATTACACACAGACAATTATCTCGTTATAATTTATTTTTTTTCATGTTAAAGATCTTCTTTCAAGATGAAAACTTCAATATAGTGAGGTGGAAAATGAAACATTATATAAAAGTTTTACAACACAGAGAAAAACAAACTTGAGGGTGTGGTAATGAAGTTGACTGTGTATCATTCAATGGACTTAAACATACATTTCTCCTTCAGAGTCCTCATCATAGGAGGGGCTGTCATAGGGGCCGGGAGGACTATCATACGGGCTGTCGTAGTGCCCTGGAGGGCTGTTGTAGTTTCTTTCGTATCGCCCCTGGTCTTCAAAATGGTCGTCATAAGGCCCTGGTGGACTGCGGTCGTAGCTCCCTCGGGAGTCTCGAGTGTTCTGGTTTACGTGTTTGTCTGTCCCAGTTCCCCAGGCTTGTTCCTCCTCCACCTTGTCATAGTCATGGTAATCACGGCGCTTTTTCTTCTTCTACAAACAGCAATATCTTACTTCAGCATTCACAGGGCAAAAAACTAAAGCACAAAAAAATGCCTCAACAAACACCAGACATTGTATAGCTGCTAGCAAACGCTTATTGAATTACCTGAACAGAAGGTAGATTTTAAAGATAACATTTTTTTTTTTTACATATCTTTCTCCTATTTGGCCCTGCCTCCTCTACCCTCATATGAGACCACACTCTATATTTCTATAACATATAGTCACCCTGGCCCAAGGACTCGGCTTGGAAGGTGGGGCACACCCTTTGTTTAGGGATATTACTTATTTTTTCAATAAAATTCTGCTCAGCATAAGCAAACTTGTCCTTCAAGCAGGTGAGCTTCTATATATACAATACCAGTTATTCTCGCATTAAGCAGTTGATAGGGTTGAACTCTTTTATCAACATTAATGTTTTCATCTTCAAAAAAAAATTAATTGAGAATCTAAAACGAATGAAAAGCAATTCTTAGTTTGGCTCACCTTATCTTCCTTTTGTTGCTTTCGCCGTTTTTCCTTGTCACGTTTTTCTTTTCGCCTTTTCTTATCATCATGGTCATCCTTACGAGGTCGTGACCTTTCTTTCTCATCTATATTGCCCTCCTCTTCTCCATCACTTGCCCTGGCCACTGCATTCTCAGGGAAATCTCTGTAATCTGGGTTGTGACCTTCTGTTTGACCTGTACAGTAAATGAGTTATTTTAGTGGGAGTTCTGAATTTCTGGGTTTTATATATGCTGACTCTGATTACCTTGAATTAATGCAATAAATAAACACACACTGACCTGCTAACAGGTGTTTCTTTGGGGGAGACTTTTCATCGATCTCCTTTTTATCTAATTTAGGGGGGGAAACTTTGGTGGGGCTGATGTTTTCCCGGACTTCCCTGCTGTACTGATTCCTACCATCATCATCTAGCTCGCCATCCTCCAATTCTCCGTCCTCAAGTTCTGCCTCCAGCTCCTGACTGCTACGAGAGTCGTTGTTGCGACGGGAGTGACGTGACCTCTCTCGATCTCTCCTTCGTGACCTGATGTACAACATGAAAGTGTTGTTATTAACACTGGAAAAGTCTTTATCAAATAGTCCATGAAATTGATGATGCTGAGCAAAAATATACTAGTTTCTGGCAACAACTCAATAGTATTTCTCACTTCTAAATTACTAAAACCATGGCATTTTCAAATTTGGAAACTCTACAAAACTATGAAATATACCTATTTATTTAAAAGTATTATAACTTAATATAGTACAGATATTAGCTTCTCTTCTAATCTATTTTATACAAATGCCAATTTCATGATTTTTATTTTTCTGGCAAAATTACTCAGTAATTGAACAAATACATAAAAACATCAACAATTTTTTCTTCAAAATCATCGACATTAAATAGCTGAGGTATAACTCATTTTAAAATGCAAGTTGCAGACAATGCAAATTGCTCAATTCAGCCCTACTATACTGTGAGTTTACACATAAAACAAATTATTTTACTGACATTGCATTTCTAAATGTTTTTTTTTTTAATTTTATTTGTGTCTTCTGGTTATTTGTACAACATGAACCTTTTTATGTTGAAATATTTACTGGACACAGAGTGGACATTGAATTTTTCAGCAGTTTTTCTCCACAATTTTATTGTTTTCCATGTAGTTATACATTTCTTATCTTTGAATTATCTTTTACAGCACAAGTAATCTCCTCCTTGTTACACGTCTTTAATATTTAAGATTTTATTGGGAGATCCCTGGTTAATCTAAAATGATTTTACGCTATGACAAGTATATCAGATAATAAATAGAACCAATATCTGAGCTGTAACAATCTTATTATCAATCATGGATTAAAAACGGAATGAACTTTCCTCATCTCAATAAGAACTAAGTGAAAAAATCTTAAATATCCAAGACACTGTAAATCACTCTGTACCTGTGGTGACGTCTGCGATGGTTTCCATGCTCCCTATCCCTTTCCCGATCAATTGGGTGATGACGAGAATGATGTCTGTGATCACTATCACCATCGGAATGATCTCCCCCTGAACGCATCCGCTTTACATGTTTGTTATTGTAATCAACAGCAGAGTTCGCATCTCCATCGTGTACATCACCTGTACTACACTTTTCATCTGGGTCACTAAAACTCTTTTTACGTCTCCTTTCAGATCTGTACTCTTCCTCATAATGATTTTCTTCTTCCTCTCCCTCAGAATTCAATGTCTGTGTATCATTTTCTCCATATTTATCACTTTCAGTGATTTGTTCAGCCAATTCCATTGTCACACACTTTTACTTTATCACAGTCATCACAGAAGTCTTTATTTACTCTCTGAAAAGTTAAGAATAGAATTAAGAACTTGCAGGTCAATGATTATGCTGTACAGGGATTTGTTCAGTGGCCAAAACTTTTTAAAAAAGGATATGTGTTCCATTCAAGGTTGATTTTTCAACCATTTAACGAAAGTTTCTTGTGGAAGGAAAAGGGAAATTATGATAAGTATCCTCCTTTTTTGATTTGTTTAACTAACCCATTCCTGATTTGAAAAAGTATTTCAGTTTCCTGATTTGCCACAACCCCCACTTTGCAAAATTCTGTACTGTCTTTTTTTTTTATTAATTTAATATTTAAGTAAAAGAGTGCAGACTATATATATGTAAAATATAATTAGCAATGAAATAATGCATTCAATTTCAAAATTGAATGACGCAAGGAACCACCCAAAGTTTCTTAATAGTTTAGCCAACATTTTCTATGTAATTTGACAAGTCCTCCTCCAAGTCTTTCCAAAGTGAATTTTAGTACCCCCATAAATTTTAGAAATAGAAGAGATACCAAACAAAAAATATTCCTTAAATAATACCAGGGTACACACAAACTTTTTTTGAAGTATTTGCCATATTGTTACCCAACACTTTCAAGGGAGATAATCCTAACAAATTAAACTCTGTATTATATATTTTGTTGTTTTCATAACTTCAAAGCACATGGAAACATTGCTGTCATTAATAGCCTAGAAATAGCACTTTACAATTTACTAAGAACATGCCTTGATAGGCCAAAAAATAATAGTATTGTTTCCAGGTTAGTAGGAAGGTAATGATAACTAGATGAACATATAATTATAGAACATGTAAGGTTTTTTTCGAAATTAAGAGACAGTGACCTGATATTTTTCAAATTCAAATTGCAATGAAAAAAGGTAAAAAGCAATATTTAAATCAGAACTTTTTTTTCAAATACAAAACACTGTCTTCATTATATTTTTATGTCAAGTATAATTATATAAGACTTAGCAAAAATGCTGGTATTTTGATATAATCTATGGTCCACAGTTTTGTCATTTAAAGAGATAGGATGTTTTGAAATAATGATGGTAATACACACAAAAAAAAACGGACTTTTTAAGCATATCATCGTGTCTTTTTTTGGTATGACTGTAATTAGTAATTTTCAACATAATTCCAGACTCCTTTGGCCATAGTAAAAATAGCCCAGGTTAATAAAGTATTCTGTTTAATAAGGCAGGTTTTAAATGGACTATAGTACCTCTTTGTTGACAACCTATTTCTTTTATCATAACAGGACAGTTTTATAGGGTAGAAAGGTTTCTTAACTCTATGTTGAATGGCTCTAATCATGTTTTATATAAAGTTATCAACATTCATTACTAGGTTAGCATTTGGGTTAATTAATTACATATATGCATGTCAATTTCTTTTTTGTTTTGTTTTCTAGCGCATCCAATCTTGGCTTTCTTAATTATGTACAAATTCCGAAATTAGATATGAAGAGTATGCAGGAAAATGTGTGACGGGCCTATGAATTCACTATTTTTCTACATTAAACGGTGGGATAATGGTCCTCAGGGTTTCTATTTTTCTTTGTTCTCATTGTACACGTGTATGGTGACGTGTTTTAAAAATACCACATTGCGAATCCATGGTCACTGATTAGAATCAACGCAGTACGTTTTGTTTCTATCCAGCTCCGGCTGACTATCTGGAACACGACAATCGCCAGGTGAGAGACCACGTGTTCGTTCACGTCATGTTTTTGTTGGTACAAATCACTCATCCATTTTACCATCCGCAAAAAAAAGAAGTTCCTCCTTTCCTTCCAATTTACGAATCGTTTTGTTGAAATAAGTGATTTCCCAATTAACAAATATAACATTATCCATTTGTCATGTCTAAAAATAAATAAATATTTGTCTACTTAGCAAATGTTTTGTTTAATTGAGGGCCACATCTGAGATATTACGATAGGTCTATAAATAACTTGTAATCAGTGCGCGATGTCTACATCCGGGTTTCCTGCCGTTATGCCATGGCAGACGAATAGCCCTGGATTGATAATTGGGAAAAATAAATCTAGTATCATCGACTTAGTTGCACCATTTCATCTCCCTAAAACAATATATTTTGTTTTTAACATACCCAAGAAAATAATAATTTTCAGAAAATTCGAAATAAAAATGCACTATTGTGACAAAAAATGGTCATGTAAGTTGTCCCCGTCAACAGCTTTGTTGCCAAAATACTGTACTTGCAACAACGTGTCCTGTACTTCCTTTTTCCGCATAGCTTACCTTTGTGCGTTTTATTTTAATCCTCACCAGAAGATAACGTTCGTTTATTTGGATTTAAATTTTACGTGTTTGCAACGCTGATTAGGTCAAAATATCTAATTTTGAAACTTCGACATTCATTTCGTAAGAGAAACAAACATGGCTCAACTCATTTGCATAATTTATGCATATTTTGTTACACTACCTTGTCCTGCAAATAATGCAGTCATTTCCTTGTGCAATTTTAAAATCTGCTGCACAAAATATGTGCTTAGACGGTGCTATTATTCGTTGCGGTTGTGACAGCAAAAACATTCCTTCTATCCTCGATCCATGGGTTCGCATTGTGTTGCTTGTGAAAACCACCCTCTACATTTTGCAAGGGGTTGGGCCACAAGAGGAGAGACTTTGAAGGTTTAGTTGTAGATTTTGGGAAAGATACCGTAAGAGAGCATGTCACTGAAGCCTTTTCAACTTGAGCTTTGATCTGATCGGTTTGTGTGAAATATACAGGTCCAACTATCGTCCATTTTTTGTAAGAATTTCCCAAGTACATTGCTCACTAGCCATTCCTACAGCGAACAAAATGGCGACGTAATTTACATTCAGTCACGTGATCGCCGATGGCTCACGAGTTGTCTGGAATTTTTCCTTCTCAGTTGGTCGGGTCAAAGTTCATATAAGAAGGCTATACGGTGCGATACGACGTGTTCTCTTTGAAAATACGTGATTTGCGATTCAGTCCAGAGACCTAAAGTTAATTTAGGTCTATGTTCAGTCGTAACATTTAACAGTGTTTGTGCGTATACAGCAGCTGACAGTTTAAAGAAAACGTAAAAAAAATGCAGTATTAGTCTAAAATATGTGTTTTAACGCCAAGCCCGTGTGCCATATGCATTATGTTTTGTTATTTGCCTTTGAATTGTATAAATCATGAAACCACGTACATCGTAACAGAGACATATTTAAAGCCATAAGTATGAGCAGAGACATATAAAGCCATATACGTCTCTGGTATATGTTAAATGTATGCGTCTCTGGAATGAGATTATATAACGTCTCTGACTGACTGGGTCATCTTATGTTAAACTTAACCAGTTCTGTCATTTTCAAATTATTTACTATAGCGCCTTTTGATGTTACATTTCCATGATAGAATGTCCATTGCAAATATTTCATTTGTGATAACTTTTATCTTATGATACCACGGACTTAAATAATCTAAAATAAATGCCATTTGGCCTATCCTGTACATTTTTATTCTAATGTCGCTTTAATAATATGCCAACACAATGAATTGATGATATCACTGCTTTACGAATTGGTGGATGAATCAAAAACAAAACATGTAACACGGGGGACCACGGGTCAAAAACATGTTAAACAAAGGGAGTTAACTCTTTGATGACATGATAACGTATCTGGTTATACTCAATTTTTTAGAACGTTCCAAGACATAAATCAGAATTTAATTGAATTGACATTTAAGAAGTTAGTTTACGCATACGAACTATAATGTTAAAGTAATTAATATACAATAAATACGAAACTAAACTCCTGTCCCCACCAAAGGAAAAGCGCCATCTACTGAAACAAAACGTGAAGATCGAAGTAAAAGGAAGGTAAGATAGATCCAAACGTCACAGTAAATGTTAAGCACACTTTAACAATCGAAATAACAAAAGACGCCGGCGACATTTCAAGTAAGATGCAATTTTGATCTGCCTTTAATGACATAGAAATGTGTCCATTACTTGATAATGAAAGTGTTCACTAATAAACAAGTTCACCCCCCCTCCCCCACCGCCACGGTTTCTGTTCCTCGTTTTGCTGTTGACTATTAGACTATTGATTTATATAGTGAATGGAATATAATAGCATTAAAAAACAAATTCAGTAACGATGCCCAAAAACGCAGGCGTTGCTGTCCTTTTATTCGGAATCGCGTGAATGGTTTAGAACAGGTTTTGAACTTCCTCTCGCTTGAGAGGATGCACTGAAGCTCAAAAGCACCCTCTCCAGTCAGAGGACATAACACATTTGTGACTTACTTATGTCAAGTCCCTTATTCGATCTGTATTGGAGTATAGTTCCACCCTCTGGGACCCTTACACGGACAAGGACATATACACCATAGAGAAAGTACAAAGGCGTGCAGCAAGATTCATTCTGTCAGATTACCAAAGAAAAAGCAGTGTAACATTCATGCTAAACAGACTAGAACTGGAACCACTGAAAGACAGACGTTGTGAACACAGTCTAGTACGGTTGTTTAAGATCATCAATGGGCTATACTAGTAGCCATACCCGCTGATGACTACATCAGCCAGCCGTACCAAACACACGACGAAACAACAGTCGGAAACTACAACAGATATCGTGCAACACTGAAAACTACAGACAATCCTACGTATACTAACCGATTGGAACGCTCTAAAAGAATCCTCCATCAGCGCAACTACGGTCGACCAGTTCCGTAGTAGCCTCAAAAAATAACTTTTACCCCACTCCTCCTCCTCGGATGTGATATTCAATCTATGAATTTAATCCAGAACCTTACAGATACAGATAAAATATGTAATAATTTAAGCGGACCGGTGATGTGGCAGTCGCTGGTAACCAGAGAGCTCTGTCGGTTAAAATGTCAATATAGAGTTCAGGGTCCTGCATTCAAATCCCAATCAGGCTGTTGCATTATTCTTGTTACATTTGTTTTGATACATTTGTTGTAGGACAAGGAATAGTGATTAAGATAGTGCAATCGCTGGGGCTCGAACCCGCAATTCTTGACTCTCCAGCCCGATGCTCTACCGCTGAGCTCAAGGGAAATTCACTACAGCTGCCGCTTGTAAGGCATCCTGATTAATGCACATCTTTTACCCTATTCCCCCCTTTTTTCAACACCAACCCAGGTTCTTTGACTCCTTGCCAAGTGTTTTACTACCTTAAATGGGGACGGTCAATGGCACTGGAAGGGATCATTTCTTCTTCTTAGCATTTTATGATAGAAAATATTTAGTGAAGTTCATTTTAGATGAAGAAACATTATGCTCAGTTTTGAGCTTATGCCAGCCAAATATAATATTTTATGTCACAAAACATAGAATACAAAAAAACCTGATAACTCTGGTGACCGTCAAGGTTCACAGGCCTCTTGTTAGTATTCTTAAAATGCCAATATTTCCAATTATGTACCAGAATACCAGACATCTCAGCATTTCAAAAATTAAAGATACAACTGAAAGATAGCCTTTGTGACATAGGCTAGTGTTGGCTGTTGTAACTGGTTTACACACTGACTGATGTATTTGAATCTGTATGATTGATTGTGCACAATGAGCTGTTATTATATTACTTAAAATACTCATGCAAACAGTGCATAGGCTACAGAACTTCCAGTACTATATGTTGTCAGATCTACTTAACACTACATTCTTTACCTGTCAATCAACTGTCTTTATTCCAATGCTTTCCATCACAATGTAACCGACATCATGTAGGGGAGATAATCAGGAAGCTTTAATCCTTCTCACTTGAGCGTTGCCCCCCCCCCCCCCCCCACAGAAGGTTTCATTTCCAAATCGCCCTCCATGTGACTACACAAGTCATTTTGATATCTTGGTCCCATGTTACAGTGTTCCATGTGATTTTTGAATAAGTAAACTGTATTCAAATTGAAATGGCCATATAAAACAACTTGCATCTATTTATAAAAATGACAACTATTTTTTTTATCTGTGATCGGTTAAATGATTCTCATCACTAATCAAACAAAACTGCTGTTTGGATTTTACAGACATCATGTCTGACGATAGTGCAGACAGTGACTTCTCTGACCCTGAAAGTGTGCACAGTACCAGTGGACCTGGCAGTCCTGCGGGCAGCGTGTCAGGAAGTGAGAGGGGCAGCAGACCAGGGAGTCCAGCTGGTAGTGGTAGCGGACCAGGCAGCCCTGGAGGAAGTGGATCTGGGAGTGGAGGAGAGAGTGGGGTAGGTACAAAGTAATGTAACAGCCATCTGGGAGAGGGGGGGAGAAAGTTATTGGGTAGGTATACGGTGAATGTAATAGCCTTCTAAGATTGGAGGAGAGAGAGTCGTCGGGCATGTACACAACTTGGCTGTAACAGCCTTCTCGGATTGGAGGAGAGAGTTGTCAGAGTAGGTAAACAGTTATTGTAACAGCCTTCTGGGATTGGAGGAGAGAGTTGTCGGGGTAGGTAAACAGTTATTGTAACAGCCTTCTGACAGTGAAGGAGATAGTCGTCAGGCATGTACACAACTTGGCTGTAACAGCCTTCTGGGATTGGAGGGGAGAGTTGTCGGGTAGGTAAACAGTGAATGTAATAGCCTTCTAGGAATGGGGGATAGAGTTGTCGAGTAGGTAAACAGTGAATGTAACAGCCTTCTCGGATTGGAGGAGAGAGTTGTCGAGTAGGTAAACAGTGAATGTAATAGCCTTCTTGGATTTGAGGAGAGAGTTGTCAGGTAGGTAAACAGTGAATGTAATAGCCTTCTAGGAGTGGGGGAGAGAGTTGTCGAGTAGGTACACAGTAATGTAACAGCCTTCTGGGAGTGAAGGGGAGTGTGGCTAGATAAACAGCTATTAGAGTCACCTCTGCATAAAATCAAAAATGAGAATTCATTGCAAATAAACTAAATCTCAGTCTTGGTTGAGAAAGCTGGTAACCTAAGCATTCCATGGATGAAGAAAATCATTTCATTTTTGAACCCTTTTTTTAAAAATGGTTTTGATAGAGATGGTGAAATACACCTTAACATGCACCTTCGATTTTTTCCTAGATTTATTTTGAGTTTACCTGAAATGTCAGATTTACCAAAAATGTTCCCATAAAAAGTGAAATACAACTTCATTGAACTTGCATATATTAGGATAGCTGCGGGAACCGTAGCCTCTATGTCCGATAACAATATAAAAAAAAAAAAACGGACATAGAGGCTATGGTTCCCGCAGCTAATATTAGGACAGCATGTTTACAGATGTTAGTTTCAAAATATAAGCCTCATTTTAAATCTGATCAACTGCACATTTATAATTTTCAACAGGGGGAAGGAAGTGATGTAGAAGTAGGACATCGGAGGAAGAGCGTTTTGGACGACGATGAAGAGGTAGACTACAATTTGTTTACTTTGAATCCACCAAAGTGTGTTTTAATTTCAAGGTCATCCAAATTGTAAAGATGTTGTAATGTAACTCTGATTTTTCACCTTCACGATTATAGATATGATAACATTCAGGATTATAGATATGGTAACATTCAGGATTATAGATATGGTAACATTCAGGATAATAGATATGATAACATCCAGGATTATAGATACTATGTCCGATAACAATATAGATATGATAACATTCAGGATTATAGATATGGTAACATTCAGGATAATAGATATGATAACATCCAGGATTATAGATATTATAACATTCAGGATTATAGATATGATAACATCAAGGATTATAGATATGATAACATCCAGGATTATAGATATGATAACATCCAGGATTATAGATATAACATTCAGGATTATAGATGTGGTTACATTCAGGATTATAGATATGATAACATCCAGGATTATAGATATGATAACATTCAGGATTATAGATATGATAACATCCAGGATTATAGATGTGGTTACATTCAGGATTATAGATATGATAACATTCGGAACTGTAACTGACTCTAATCTGGATACAACATTAGGACAAAATACTGCAAAAATACATAGAAAAAATATTCAGGCAATTTTTTTAGTTCACCACAAAATGTTTCTATATTGATAACCATCAGACAATTTAGTGGAATCTACTTAATACTAATATTGCACAGTTTATGGAAACAATTTATTGTGTTAGCCACTATTCAATTGTTTTTTTAATTCAGGGGGGGGGATCTGTATAATTGTTACATTAACAAAATTTGAATTGAAACAACAGCAATGCTTCTTAGTTCTATGGCATTAGGAATCTTATGTTATAGGAGTAGTGACTGCATGATTTAGCATTCGACACAAACAAGTTTTCGTGGTTGTGTAGGAAGGATTATTGCCAGATAAATACAGCAATAGCATATCAGGAAATAATGTATCTGAAAAAATTAAGTTTTATATATTTCATTTCAGAACAATTTCACATTTATTTCATTGGTTTCCTCCTAGTTTCTCTAATATTGACTTCAGAGAATTCTTACTGATTTGGTTTCACTCCAGTATATGGTATATTGATTTATTTCCATACTGATTTTTAACTAGTTTCGTATTGATTTCTTTATTCATATGCATATATTTGAGAAAAGTTTTATTTGAAGCAATTCTACAGTTATAGTGATATCTTCAACAGGAGTACGATTCGGAAGAGGAAGAAGATGATGATGGGAGAAGGAAGAAGAAGAAACCGAGGCTGTCTGGTTTCATCATCGACGAAGCTGGTAAGCTGATCAATCCAGACAATGATCTGTGATAACTCTTTTCTCCCTAAATTCAAACAGGAAGGGTTCATAGGTTTTGTAGATTGTTTATCACTTTGGCGCGTTTAAAAATTTGTAGAATTTTAGCTCACCTGGCCTGAAAAGGTAAGTGAGTTTATGCTGTGGGGCGATGAAATATAAAGGAAGTATAGGTAAATCTTTAAAATTGTGCTCTATGAATATAGGTGAAAGTGTTTTAATCTAATTTGGTGTAGAGCATCCCTGGGCCAAGAGGACTCAACCTTGTATAAATAGAGGATGTATCCCCCTCCTCCCAACTAGGGGACAGAAAGGTGGGGCGTTATAGAGGAAGTGTAGGTAAATCTTCATAATCCTGCTGCATGGGTTTGGTTAGAGATTTTAACCTCGATTATTCTGGATCCTATGACAAAGGGGACTGAAGGTGGTATAAACACAGATACAATACCACTTGCTCATGACACCTTGCACTTACCCACCTAGTTGACACATTTCTTGATTAAGTCAATCACTTTCACATTGTTCTATACATTTGCTGATTTAATATGTGACTGACAAATTACACATCATTTACGGTGAACTTGTTTGTAATTGGTTTTCTTCACACTTTCAATTATCTTGTGTCCAGATGTCGATGATGAGGGTGAGGATGATGAAGATGAATGGGAGTCTGGAGCTGAAGATCTGATTGAGGCAAAGTCTAACTATGAGGGTCCAACTGCCAGAGAAATAGAGGGAAACCGGAGACTTGAACACTTGTTCAAGTGAGAACAATTTCAATTTCAATTTGACATAGAATCCCTTTTTTCCAGAACTAGATAATGACTTACTTAGGTAGATCAAAAACTGACACACTGAGCTGGCTGTATTCATTTAAGGACATTTACTACTTTAAGTTGAAAAACCTATTTACAATCAACAAAAAGTGATCACATATCTTTACTGTATGAGAAGACCACGTAATAACTATCTTTACTGTATGAGAAGACCACGTAATACATATCTTCACTGTATGAGAAGACCATGTAATACATATCTTCACTTTATGAGAAGACCACGTAATACATATCTTTACTGTATGAGAAGACCACGTAATACATATCTTCACTGTATGAGAAGACCACGTAATACATATCTTTTCTGTATGAGAAGACCACGTAATACATATCTTCACTGTATGAGAAGACCACGTAAAACATATCTTTACTGTATGAGAAGACCATGTAATACATATCTTCACTGTATGAGAAGACCACATAATACATATCTTTACTGTAGGAGAAGACCACGTAATACATATCTTTACTGTATGAGAAGACCACGTAATACATATCTTTACTGTATGAGAAGACCACGTAATACATATCTTTACTGTATGAGAAGACCACGTAATACATATCTTTACTGTATGAGAAGACCACGTAATACATATCTTTACTGTATGAGAAGACCACGTAATACATATCTTTACTGTATGAGAAGACCACGTAATACATATCTTTACTGTATGAGAAGACCACGTAATACATATCTTTACTGTATGAGAAGACCACGTAATACATATCTTTACTGTATGAGAAGACCACGTAATACATATCTTTACTGTATGAGAAGACCACGTAATACATATCTTTACTGTATGAGAAGACCACGTAATACATATCTTTACTGTATGAGAAGACCACGTAATACATATCTTTACTGTATGAGAAGACCACGTAATACATATCTTTACTGTATGAGAAGACCACGTAATACATATCTTTACTGTATGAGAAGACCACGTAATACATATCTTTACTGTATGAGAAGACCACGTAATACATATCTTTACTGTATGAGAAGACCACGTAATACATATCTTTACTGTATGAGAAGACCACGTAATACATATCTTTACTGTATGAGAAGACCACGTAATACATATCTTTACTGTAGGAGAAGACCACGTAATACATATCTTTACTGTATGAGAAGACCACGTAAAACATATCTTTACCGTATGAGAAGACCACGTAATACATATCTTTACTGTAGGAGAAGACCACGTAATACATATCTTTACTGTATGAGAAGACCACGTAAAACATATCTTTACTGTATGAGAAGACCACGTAATGCTTACTGTAATGTGATTGTGATTACATATTTTTGCAATTGTGCTTCCATCTCTCTTGTATTCAAAAGTATTTGATATCGCAAAAATGTTCAATAAGGGATGGTTATCTCATGGTGAATTGATTTATTGTGTTAAGATGTTTTTCATAATATTGAAGAACATATAGATACACAAAATAAACAATAATAGCATGAAAATAACAGTTTTGAAACTGAAAAAAATAAATTAAAAATGAATAAAATTGGGAAATGTCATTAAATTTAGTTTAGCTCTTGTTTGAATAATGTAACATTCGTTAATTTATGATTATGTTTTGACAGGTCGCAGAAGGAAGACGAAATTGAGGCATATTTGAGACAGAAATATGAGGACTCGTCCTTCACAGAGAGGTTTGGGGAGGGTGCAGAAATGTCAGATGAAATCACACAGCAAGGGTTACTCCCTGGAGTCAAGTAAGTCATGGATTTCTGTCATTCAAGTTCAGTTTCCTTCTAACAGGGAATGATTTCAGAATTTTTCTTCAGTATTTTTATAAGTGCAGTGTCACAATAAAAAGTTCATATAGTCTTTCTCACCATCAATAATGATGTCCCACTCTCCCTCCAACACTAATGTCATCATCCCACTATCCTGCAAGCTCTTAAACCATCATCTTACTATATTGTGACCACTGATACCATCTTCATACTATCCTGCCCTCATTAATATGGTCATCTCACTATCCAATCACTACTATACTGTTATGCTACTATCCAGCTACCACTGATATTTTTGTCGAACTGTCCAATCCCCACTAAAACGGTTGTCTGATTATCCAGCCAAAACTGGTGTTGTGCCACCATTCAGCAACCTTTTTGGAGACAGATTGACCCTTTTCTAAATAAATTCTCCCAATTATCAAGCAGTCTTCGAACAAAGATGGCTGCTTCATGTAATGTCCTCCAATTACTATACTAACATGCATCGCTGAAGCTGTATCTATCTCTAATTTGTTAAACAGGGATCCCAATCTTTGGCTGGTCAAGTGTCGTATTGGGTTTGAGCGAGAGACTTCCATACAGCTCATGCGCAAATTTGTTGCCTACCAGTTCACAGACGAAGTAAGTTTAGTATAAATTCATTGTCATTATGCAAAGGTCTAGGGGAGGCAACTCAGCAGTTAAACAATCTCTGCCTTGGGGTTTGGAACATCTGATAAGTATTGTGGAAAATTACCAGAGAGATGTTTATAATGTACACCCACTGAAGTAACACTTGCTCTTACAATTAATAACCAAAGAAACACTATTAGTAAAAACGTACTATTAAAAGTTGGCAATTCCTAATAAATACCCAAGGAAAACCCTGACCATTGATAAAACTACAAAGCAACAATATAATTCAAAAAAAAAAATAAAAAAAAATACAACATTTGATATAGCGCCCTAACTAGCTAACATAAGTCACTCTAAAGCGCTTTACAGTACATAGATATACAAATTTTTATACAGTCAATACACTTAGCATATATATATATATTAATCAATACAATATAAGCATATATATATATATTAATCAATACAATATATTCAAGCCTTAACTTTCTAATTGCGGTTGATGTTGTTGTAAAGAAAAAAATGATATCATGAAATTTGATGTGTTTTCAGCCACTTCAGATAAAATCTGTGATATCCAAGGAAAGCCTGAAAGGTTACATCTACATTGAGGCATTCAAACAGACTCATGTCAAACAGGCCATAGAAGGCATTGGAAACCTCCGAATGGGACTCTGGGCACAACAGGTAACGCTTCGCCACATGTCGCTTCAACTAGATACAGGATCCTGCAACTGGTGTATGTTCCTTGTACAGCAGTAGATTGTTTTTAAAATTGAAAATGATCAGACATAAAAAATAAAAATAAATTAAATAAGCTGGAATTGTTCTCTCTTCATGCATCAACCAACAAATTTGTAATAAATTTGCATGTATTTAAATTATAAAAGGTAGCATACAGCTTAATACAAGACAGATTATTATGTTTTTGTGTGGAAGATTTGTGGTTTCGAGATTGACAGCAAATTGTTTCCTACAGATGGTTCCGATTAAGGAAATGACAGATGTTATGAAAATTGTGCGCGAGGCGACAGTCATCAAAGCGAAGGCTTGGGTGCGGCTCAAACGTGGCCTGTATAAAGAGGACCTGGCTCAGGTAGGCAACAAAAAGGACTATAACTAAAGTTGGAAAGTGAAAATAGATTTTCCTGTAAAATGAAAGTATTCACTTTGTAATGAAGGGTGAGTTCATCACCAGGTCTTAGATAAAGAACTATATTAAGTTTTAAAAATGCAGTGAATTGAGTAAAGAAGTGAAATTTGAAACGATGGTAGGGCCACCACATTAAGTAGACAAAGATGTAAATTTTGAAAAGTTGTAAGGCTGCTATATGTTTAAGGGTCTTGTATGTCAACTGTTAGAGACAATAACTTATCTGCTGCACTGATCATCTGAATAATGCAATGTCATATATTTACTGCACTACAAATTATTATTTTTAAAAAAGAAAAAAAAATCAAGGTTGATGAGCTTATCCGATTTGTTTTTTTGCCATACACAGGTTGATTTTCTATTGTTTTTTTGCCATACACAGGTTGATTTTGTGGAGCCAGCCCAGAACATTGTACACTTGAAGCTGATACCAAGAGTCGACTACACGAGACAGAGAGGAGTAATGCGGAATGCACAGGTAATAGACTACACCAGACAGTTGTGTTAAATTTTTGTAAAAGAAATTTCAGGTCACCCGAGCTTACGCTAGAGATCCAGTGCAGTTACTTTCTACTCGTCATCATTCAATGTGCATTGTCTATCATGTGTAAACATTTTACTATTTTGGACTTCTTAAGAATCAATGAATGGATTTCTTTCAGACTTGGTGAGGATCAAATTTTATTCCCGTAGGGTAACCCATTTCCCCTCTTGGGAGGGTGTAAAATGTACAATATGACACTTTTGAGTGGCCTAATGACCTGCCTATTAGGCCACTCAAAAGTGTCAAAGAGGAAAACTTTCTAAATTTCATTTTTTTTTAATCCAAAAATCAACTACTCTTCATGGATGGAAATGTCTTAAAGTGCCTTATCAAATTCATAAATTTCATCAATCATGGGTCGTCCACTCCTCCCTGAAGTGGGGTGAAATTAACTATCATTTACATAGGGAATTAAACCTTTCGAGTATTATTCCTTTATTTTCCAGTGAAATTTTCTAAAACTTTGTTTGAATTATAAGCAGGGGATGACAGATTGATGATATGGAAATAAAGACCCTAACTCACCCTATTAGTCTGAGGGGTGATATAATAAATGAGGAAAAACATACCTGCCAACCCCGGTTATACTAAGAGAGGGTGATGACCCTCCTTTGAAAAAAAAAAAGTGGGTCATAGTGCGCGACGGCTTTTTTCGCAACTAATATAAGAAAAATAGATATTAAATTATAACTTGCATATTTTAATGATGTAAAAGTTGCATTCTACATTCATTGAACTGTTCTTCCAGCAGATCTAGCTGATCCTCATCCACAATACCAAATTCAAAGCTGAAAACAAAAAGATTTGTCAACAACACAACTTATAAAATTAATTCATAATAACATAATGATGCTGTGTTTTCACAGGCATTTTTTATGCGGGACTTTATACACTATAACTAATTTTCCGACGACATTTGATATGTGCACAATTATATTTTCTTTTACCATTTCGGGTAGTAGAACCTGCAAGTCCCGATAACGACTTCTTCCTTCAAAATACGATCTATTCTATATATAAACGTTTGTAAAACAGTTCTAGTACGTATATAAACAACTCACAACTTACCTGTTGGTGAGAAACGGAAACAGGAAATACATCATCCTACTTGTGAAGAAGGATGGAAAAGTCTAGAGAATTAAGAGTGACTTCGGTAACTTCTAAGATAGGAAAAGATTACGGGTGGAAACGGGTGAAATTGACGAAATCCCGGTCAAAATCGTAACCTGGCGGGTGAGGTTATAAAAGCGGGTGAAGGGCTAAAATCCCGGGTGTAACCCGACAATATCGGGTCACTTGGCAGGTATGGAAAAATTGGCAAAAAATTGAAGATCTCGGATGAAAGAGAAATTATGAAACATTACATCATTAAAAAAGTAGCTATTGATGAGAAAATGTGTTTTGTAAACCATCGCATACCATTGTTGTAGGATGCATGTAAGTGGAAAAATGAATTTGAAGACATGATTTGATCAAAATATGACTTTCAGCATCATAATATGCAGTACACACTGTTGTAGGATACAGAAAAGCGGAAAAAGAAAAGGAGACCAGGACAGAAATTGTTTGACCTAGATCAGATCAGGTTAGCTATTCTTGTGTGCTAAATGAAACTGATTTTGTGTACTAAAGTTTCGAACAGCCTTCAAGATTATCAAACAATTTTGAGAGGAACAGTTGTTTGTTTGACCTCAATGACTAACTTACTTAATTAAAAAAAAATGGTCTGGAGCATTGATGGACCAAGTAGCCTTAATGCTTCTTAGTTATATGGCCTCAATGTTCAATAAAAGGTGGGTGTGGGTGTGGGCTCCTGTTTGGTAGAGGAGTGGGGCAGTGCCTCTAGGGATAAAACTTTAAAATCCTACTTTTTGATTATAGGTTTAAAAATTTGAACATAAATTGGCCTACCCAATCATTCGACCAACAACACTAAGTATAATCTAAACAGAATTTGTCGCCCTCTCGGGCAGAATGGTTTGTAGCATCCTTGGACCAAGTTAAAGTCTAGACAAACTAAACTTACACCAGATGGATCTGTATCAAATTTCCCGCATCAGATGCTGTGTGGGTCCTAGATTGTTTGGTTCATTGACACTTTCTTCATCAATTGTTCAGGTTATGCATTAGACTCTATTTCTCCAAAAGTATGAGTGCATGACTGACTAACTTGGATTAAAAATTAGTATTCCATCTAATCCATATTTTGGGGACAGGTGATACATATATAGTTTGAGTGGAAAATCTTGCTTTTAGATTTTGTTCCTGGCTAAAAACTATTTCATTTCCTAATTTACATTATAAATGTGATGTTAATCATGCATACTTAAAGTCATGTATATTTCAAAATATCTAGAACAAGAATGTGAAAAGTAAGATGATTTGATATGCTGTCAATTTTTCTTAATAATTTAAGTTCAAATGTTCAAAAGATACTGTAAAATTTGGAGCTGATATTACAACCTGTCGGGTATATCAATCTTTGTATGACTATTTCAGACAAATTGGTGGTGATGTCTCGACTGATGGTGACTTCCTCATGTTTGAGAACAACAGGTATAGTCGGAAAGGCTTTCTCTTCAAGAGCTTTGCTATGTCTGCCATCATCGCAGAAGGCATCAAACCAACATTGGGAGAGCTGGAGAAATTTGAGGACCAACCGGAAGGGGCAGAAATAGATTGTATCCTTTGCATTCAGTGATTACTGTGACGATATCTCAAACAGGTTCATGTTTTATAATGCCAAGGTCAAGGTAACTGTTACTATTTATAGACAATCTTTGTCATCTCTCTTATAACTTCATTTTAAACTTCATTCAATAGTCCAGTACTGTTACTTGCCGTCATGACCTTCTCGGCATATAAACTTCTTTTAAAAAAAATGACAATCTTAATGGGAGTTATGTCATCTTGTTTCCCTGTTTACGTGTTGGTGACAGTATTGCTACCTTCCTTTTCAACTGATATTTAGGAAGGTACCTGAAGTAATTGTATGATTACAATTTTTTTTATTCAAATATTTTGTAGGAGATTTGTTTCTTGAGTGTCATGTAATAAAGTAGTGATTTTAGCCTGTTACATACAGTTCTGTTGTCATTTGCAACAAATTGAGAAGGAAATGCCTAAACCTAATTGAGTATTGGATGCTATGTAGATCTGATATTGGAGGGGGGAAGGAGATTTATAGACCTGAAATTATCAGGGAAGAACAAGTGATTGCCCTTAACCACTGTTAAGTGATCCCGGAGAAGTCGGTGGGGGATGTAAACCATACCCTGATCCCTGGAGATGTGGTGGAGGTATGTGAGGGCGAGTTGGTACATCTCCAGGGTAAGGTCATCAGTGTTGATGGTAACAAGATCACTATGATGCCCAAGCACGAGGACTTACAAGATCCACTCGAGTTTCCCTGCAATGAGCTCAAGAAACACTTCAGGATGGGTGACCATGTGAAAGTGTTAGCGGGTCGGTTTGAGGGAGATACAGGCCTTATTGTCCGTGTTGAGGATAACATGGTCGTCCTATTCTCGGACCTCACTATGCATGAGGTAGGTGCTTGGTCCAACTTAACTTTTGGTAAACATAAATCACCATGTTCTTAACTATATATTTATACCAGCTTGCCGAGACATGCATTTCCTTTCCAAAGACTTCCACAAAAATATTATAAATAACACATAAAAATCAAATGCTTTTCTATGTTATTTTCAATTCAGACTAACACTGGAAACTGAAGGATATCTCTTACCACGATATGTTTTCTTGCTAACTGCTCATAATTTTTCAAGACTTATTTTCAACAAAGGCTAACACATAGAATTCAAGGAAAGTGTACCTATTCCGATCTGAGTATAGCTATTTAACTTTCTGTTACAGCTGAAGGTCTTGCACCGAGACTTACAGTTGTGTGCGGAAATGGCTACAGGAGTAGACTCCCTGGGACAGTTTCAGTTTGGCGACCTCGTCCAGCTCGAGTGAGTATTACACAACTGTAAATGTCTGAGAACTTCAATTTCAACTTTTATTTTTCAGCTTTTTTTCCATTTTTTCAAGTTTTAAGGCGTTTTTGAATTTGTTTAGAAGAGGACCTAGCTAACTAAATCCTGCAATTGATTTTGACTTAATATGTGACTATATTGTCTAAAAATGATTTTGGAAATTACATTTTGAAACTAAAATGTAAGCATTTTGCTATGGCTGCTGCTGGTGACCTAAACAATTATTGGTTGTACTTAACCTATGTTTACAGTCCACAGACAGTGGGGGCGATCGTGCGACTGGAGAAGGAAAACTTTCAGGTCCTCAGCATGCACAACAAGGTAGGTGATTTACCACAAAAAGGATTAATACTAGTCTATCACAGAAATGATGGTACAGAGGTACAAGTTCGGCTCTGTCATTGAATCTGCTACCTATAGTGGAATTTCATCATTTTACAAACACATGAAATGTGAATTCCATCTTACATGGGATAAAGATAATCTATAGTTATGAAGAAATCTCAGTACCAAGGTTTTTAGTCTAGTACCCCTCATCTCCATACTTGTCCCCGACAAAACAACTGCTTTAGATCTCTACACCATAGCTAGTGATTAATTACTTTTCTCACACCCACACTTTTCTAGAATAGAGCTTCACTACAGGTGTTTCAGAGCGTTTTTATGTGACATCATAAGCTTATTCAGTGATTTTGTTTTGCCAAGTTTTACATCCGAAAATACAGATTGCTTTCCCCAGCATTTTTTTTTCTCTCCCCAAAATGAAATAATATTGAAGACTGTCTTCCCAATTCAATAAAAAATCAGGCTACATTTTCCCTATTCAGATGGGCCACAGCCTGTTGTGAAATTTAAGTAGAAAAATCACTGTATTACAGGGTCCTGTTGTGACAAGGAAGTTTCCGATGGTGTAAACCCTATGGTTAGTTTTCAGGTGTTAGAAAGCTTTATTCCACACCAGTAGCATTTCCATAGGAAAAAATGTTCTGTGATTTTAGTTCAATATAAGATTCAAATTGAAGTTTATTTGATCTACAATTCAAACTTATTCCATTTAACTTTTAAGATTAATAATCTTATTGAATTTATGATTTTGATTTATGACACCTTGATTAGGTACTGAATGTAAAACCACAAGCTGTGACGCGAAAAAAAGACACGAAGAATGCAGTGGCCCTGGACTCTGAGAGCAACAATATACAGACCAAGGACATTGTCAAGGTCATAGATGGGCCACACTCGGTAAGTAACCAAGGTCATAGATGGGCCACACTCAGTAAGTAACCAATGTCATAGATGGGCCACACTCAGTGAGTAGCCAATGTCATAGATGGGCCACACTCGGTAAGTAACCAATGTCATAGATGGGCCACACTCAGTGAGTAGCCAATGTCATAGATGGGCCACACTCAGTGAGTAGCCAAGGTCATAGATGGGCCACACTCAGTAAGTAAATAACCAAGTACATAGATGGGCCACACTCAGTAAGTAAATAACAAAGGTCATAGATGGGCCACACTCAGTAAGTAAATAACCAAGTACATAGATGGGCTACACTCAGTAAGTAAATAACAAAGGTCATAGATGGGCCACACTCATAGATGGGCCACACTCAGTGAGTAAATAACCTAGGTCGTAGATAGACCACACTCATTAAGTAATAGGGCAAGGTCATAGACTGATAGGTCTGACTCAGCAAGTTATAAGTCAAGGTCATAGTGTCAAGGCCACAGAAAGACACAGTCAGTAAGTTAAAACAAAGTTCACAGTGTCATGGTCATAGTTGGCAACAAACAGTAAGTTACAACCCAAGAGTAACTTTCTCGGAGAACATGATATGACTACACTCTTGTAAACTTATCTCGGTGGTAATGAAACTCTTGTTATTTGATCAAAAATAAATGATATTTAATAAAAATTATATGATATATATTTAACAATTTTCCTTGTGATAACATATCTCAGAAACAAAACTTTAGGTTAAAGATGATCAGAATGCAGATAAAGCCTGCTAATTGCATTTTCCTTTCAGTATGTTAAGTTTCCAAAATAATCAAAATTATTTATATGGTAATTCAGCTTTTCTAATTTTCTTTTGATATACTAGTATGTCTTGTATGAGGAGTATTCTAATATTTAAAGGCTTAAAAAGGTCCTTTTCAAACTTTTTCAATGTTGAGCTAAGCAGTGCAAATGCAGGAGCTTCCAAAATATACCAAAATCTGTTGAGGTCAGAGAGGTCATATGTAGACTGACCTGCTCAAATGTAGGTGACGGTATGGGGAAAGCCAAGTGAATGGATGTATGCTTCCATACCATATTATGTCCTGCCATCAAAAGTTTGACTTCAGCATGAAAAGCTGGTGGTTTTTAGCTCACCTGCCGGAAGGGCAAGTGAGCTTATGCCATAGCACAGCGTCTGTCGTCCATCCGTCGTCACTACTAGTCCTGAACGGCTAGGTAGATTTTCGCTAAATTTGGTCTGGAGCATCCTTAGGCCAAGGGGACTCAATTTTGTATAAATGGTGAGTGTGGCCCCCCTGGGGGCCAAGGGGTTGGGCCCTATAGGGGAAATAGAGGTAAAACCTTTAAAATCCTTCTTCTATCATAGGGATTAAGAGAATTTTGTATAAATGGTGGGTCTGGCCCCTCTGGGGGTCTGAATCATCCTTGGGTGAAGGGGAACCAATTTTGTTTAAACGTGGGTCTGGCCCACCACGGGCCTGAGGGGTGGGGCCCAATAGGAGAAATACAGCAAATTCTTTAAAATCCTTCTTATTCTGTAGGAATGAAAGGATTTGGTCCATATTTGATCTGAAGCATTCTTGGGTGAAGGGGAACCAATTTTGTATATACCGTAGGTCTGGCCCCCCCAGGGGCCTGAGAAGCGGGGACCAATAGGGAAACATAGCAAATTATTCTTTAAAATCCTTCTTATTCTGTAGGAATGAAAGGATTTGGTCCATAATTTGTGTGGAGCATCCTTGGGTAAAGGGGAATAAATTTGGTATAAACGGTGAGTGTGCCCCGCCCCCC